TTAATCATCTTTATTTAGTCTTTATATGAGGTAGTTAGCCTATTATATTTTATTGGTGTTTAACTGAAGATGCTACAGAAAGCTGCTTATGTCATCGTGTTGTTAACATTTATGCATATTACAAGTATTATATTTCATTGGTTGTGGCAAATAAAGTTTAGATACTTGGAGTTACTACAGTTATAGCTGACAAAGGATAAATTAGGCTGCCTCACAAAAACAACTTGAAAGCCTGCAGTCCACCAATGAATACTTGACACATTATATCCGTTCACTTCCTCCACCCATGCCACAAACGGTAAGCCATATTGGATTTTCCCTCTGTTTTGGCTGCCGATTGGACTGATTGACTGTGTTTAGACTACTGCCTTTTTCTGACACTGATTCTGGATTGCCCTCTAAATAAACTTCTGCATATGGATTCTAACTCGGCTTCAGCCTCCTCGTTACACATGTAAACAAAGAATTCATGTAAACAATTAAAAATTCTGTCTTTTTGACAGCCTACTTCCTTCATAGATGGACGCTGCTGTGATTTAGGTTAAAAACGTATAAATACTCTGTAACTATCAGTAACAGACAAAGCAATAGTGACACATGATAAAAACACTGTTACTCACATTTGTGTGTTGCGACATTACTATTGGATACAATATAATCTGCACAGCATCGTCTTTTAGTTTCAGTCTCTGTCAAATTGTGTTTTGTTTAAAAATGTATTCTGCTCGCTGTTTGTTCTGTTGTCTGGTATTTCTTTGACTGGACACAAACACTGTACACACTGCGTGGTATAGTGTTTTGGTATCTTTGCATTTTAATGAGTGTGAGTATGAGTACACAAATCAGTGAGTATACAGTATCGGGCCTGATACCAATAATAGTATCAGTATCGGTGCATTCCTAGTAAATAGGGCACACGTACATGCTCATTCACATGTAGCATAATTCCCACCCATAAATTACAACTACCTGAATTATGTGTACAGCAGGGGTGCCCAATCCTGTTCCTGGAGATCTACCATTCTGCAAAGTTCAGCTCCAACCCTGATTAAACACACCTGAACCAGCTAATTAATGCAGGAACTGAATACGATAGGTCACCCCTGGTGTAGTCAAGTGAAGTCACCTTTATTTATATAGTGCTTTATACAATAAAGATTGTGTCAAAGCAGCTATACAGTGTTAGAGTTGATATAGTCACTCACACTGCTCTTGTGTAATCTTGGTCTACTCTTCTTCCAGTCTCTTCCATAGTTCGGTAACTGTGGTGGCATTCTTAGCCATAACTTTGTGGCTAAGGATTTTCCAGAGATTTTAAATTGGGTTTAGATCAGGACTCTGGGCCGGCCATTTCATTATTTCAGTGTTCTTAGCTTCAAGGAACTGCTTTACCTGTATTGAAGTGCGACGGGGACATTGTCTTGCATGAAAATTGCAAGCTGATTGGGAGATGCTTGCAGGGAAGGTATCTCATGTTGCAGAAGGAGGTTCTGATAAACATTTGCATTCACCCTGCCATGTATCTGTATAAGAGGCCCAACTCCTGCTGCAGAAAATCATGACACTTCCTCCTCCACCTTTTACTGACTTCTTTACGCACTTGGGGTTCAGTCTTTCCCCAGTTTGACACCGAACAAAATGTTTCCCATCGGACCCAAATAAATTAAACTTGCTCTCATCACTTAAGTGAACTTTACACAACATGCTCCTCAGCAAAGGTGAATCTAACCTTTTGATTCTTTCTGTTGATGAGAGGCTTGGTCACTGCAGAGTGCATTTTCAGCCGACTTCTCTTAAACGTGCAGAGACTTATCCATACCCTTTTCATCGCTGAACTGGCGAGCAATTCCAGCTGCAGAGTTGAACCGATTCCCCATTGAGAGTCTCCGCATTATCCTGTCCTCTTATTGCATTTGTCTTATGTGGACAACCAGTCTTTTTAGGGGACTTGAATGAAATAGTGTCATTGTAAAGCTGCAATATTTGAGAAATAACAGATTTGGAGTGACCAACTTCTCTTGCAGTGACTGAAAGGGTCATCTCTTTGGCCTTCATTTAGATAATCTGCTGTTGCAGGGTTTCAGTCACCTTAGAGCAGCCTGCCATCTTGCAATATTAATGAAAATGAGAGGAATGCTGCCAGTTAAATAGGGTTTGTCATATAATTAAGGAAATTAGCACCTGATGATGATCCTCTGCCTCTGTTCATGAGATCCTGGACTCCCAAGATCAGATGGGTCATCTTAAGTACCTTGTCAACTGGAAGGGGTATTACCCAAAGCAAGGTCTTGGGTGACTCGGAATGACATCCTGGATCCGACCCTGTTAATTACCTTCCATGCCAACCATCCTACTCAACCCTGCGCCGTGTGGTCAGGGTCAGCCACGATGTTGGGGACTCCGGTCCTCAAGAGCGGTCCGTGTAGGAGGGGTTACTGTCATGACTACAACAGGCTCTCCCTCTCCCAACACTCTCTGCCTACACTGTGTTTATCTGAAAGTGTATTCTGTATTACACTCTGTTCACTCACCTCCATTCCTGTGTTTACCATTATCATTGAATAAACCCCATTTCTGCCTCTGAGTTAACATACAGTTGGTGGACAACCAAAATGACTATTACAGCGTTAAATGCAAGTCAGTCGCGTGTTAGAGTCATTCGCGAAACTACAGTCTATCTACAACTACTAGTTATCGCGGTAGACTATCGCGAAACTACGTGGGACCACTTCCCACGTATCTACAAGGACACGAAAGGTTCAGTAGACTTTTTGCTTTAAATGAATGGTTATTGTCATGGTGTAAAGCATGGGGGTCGCTTGGCCATTTTTAGGGGGGCTATAGCTCCTCCCCGTCTTTCAGCGTGTTATTTTTCAATCTGCAGACCACGGCAGCGCATAGCGAGAAACGGACGAGGCTTGGTCGACTAAAATTTTATTAGTCGCAGAAAAAAAAAATTCCACAGGCAAAGTCTGTGACTAACAGATCGTTAACGGCTAGTCTATGGTAATACAGTACATCGGGCAGGACATCCAAATGCTCGCCTATCATTCATCGACCTCAAATATGGCTTATCATCTGAAATATGTAAGTATTAGCAACTTTACATGGCCGCTCAATCTAATGTTAACCAAAAGAAATGTTATTCAAGTGTCTTGTTATTCAAGAGAAAACGCTATTCAAGTGAATAGCAGCTCGCTCACTGCGGGACAGTTGGAGGCGCTGGTGCGCTCACTCTTAAAATACTGGACATTTTTGCTCATACAGATAAGAGTAATACATCTTTCAAATCTGTAAAGACTACCTTTATTTGTGTGCACTCACAATAACAACAAATCGCGCTTTTGTGAAATAATGAAAGCAAACATGATGCTCTTTCTGCCGTCTCGTTCTCTGTGAACTTGAGCGCAAAACACTGTGTATATCTTTACCTTATGGACATGAAAAATATATCTATAGGGAGTGAAATGTCTACTTTCAAATAAACCAATTCAAATGGAAAACAAATATTCTCAGATTATGTTATCCGTATGAAACATGCATCCCCAGTGAAGACCTTGTCTCCCGGCCACCGGGACAAGCCCACAGGAACCAGTTGAGTCCTCTGCACAATGTGACTTTGCTGCAGCCTGGAACTGAACTGCTGGTTTTGTCTGGCCAGAGGAGAACGGACCCCCCGACTGAGCCTGGTTTCTCCAAAGGTTTTTTCTCCATTCTGTCACCGATGGAGTTTTGGTTCCTTGGGCTTGCTTAGTTGGGGACACTTAATTACCAGCGTTATCGTCGACTTGATTGCACAGATACTATTTAATCTGAACTGAGCTGGATGATGACATCACTGAATTCAATGATGAACTGCCTTTAACTGAAAAATTAGTGTTTGCGCAGCACATCACCCGCGACGACGATCATCGTGTCAGGACCGCTTCCAGCGTATCGACGAGGACACGAAAGGTTCAGTAGACTTTTTGCTTTAAATTAATGGTTATTGTCATGGTGTAAAGCATGGGCGTCGCTAGGCCATTTTTAGGGGGGCTATAGCCCCGTCTTTCAGTGCGTTCTTTTTCAATCTGCAGACCGCGGCGGCGCAGAGCGAGAAATGGACGAGGTGTGTGTTTATCGATAGATTGTTATAATATCAGCATCTCATGGTGTAAAGAACAGAAACTGCTCTTTGTTAATAATTAGAATCTTTTCTGGGAGCGTCCTAGGCTTTTTCGCGCTGATGGTCTGCACCCCAGCAGAATCGGAGCGGAACTCCTGTCGGACAACATCTCCAGGACGCTACGCTCCATATGACTAGTAAGTAAATTCTCAAATAACTGCTATGATGGCTTTTGTTCTATCCACTTAAATAGAAGTACTTGCGCTATCCAATCTATAAAGATTGTGTCTGTTCCCCGAATAGTGAGGTCAAAATATAAATGTAATGCAGGATCTAGAAAAAATCTAAAGCTCCTGCGGGAGCGGGCACTGCTGCGGCAGTGGGGAAATATGGAAAAGCTCCTGCGGGAGCGGGCACTGCTGCGGCAGTGGGGAAATATGGAAAGCTCCTGCGGGAGCGGGCACTGCTGCGGCAGTGGGGAAATATGGAAAGCTCCTGCGGGAGCGGGCACTGCTGCGGCAGTGGGGAAATATGGAAAGCTCCTGCGGGAGCGGGCACTGCTGCGGCAGTGGGGAAATATGGAAAGCTCCTGCGGGAGCGGGCACTGCTGCGGCAGTGGGGAAATATGGAAAAACTCCTGCGGGAGCGGGAACTGCTGCGGCAGTGGGGAAATATGGAAAAACTCCTGCGGGAGCGGGAACTGCTGCGGCAGTGGGGAAATATGGAAAAACTCCTGCGGGAGCGGGAACTGCTGCGGCAGTGGGGAAATATGGAAAAGCTCCTGCGGGAGCGGGCACTGCTGCGGCAGTGGGGAAATATGAAAAACTCCTGCGGGAGCGGGAACTGCTGCGGCAGTGGGGAAATATGAAAAACTCCTGCGGGAGCGGGAACTGCTGCGGCAGTGGGGAAATATGGAAGCTCCTGCGGGAGCGGGTACTGCTGCGGCAGTGGGGAAATATAGAAAAGCACCTGCCGGGGCGGGCACTGCTGGTCTTGAGTGGATGGGGCTGTACTGACATTTTAAAGGGGTTGGCCGATGAGGGTTCGTTGAGCTTCCTTGATGTGGGAGCGGTCAGATCGAATGTAGCTCTTGAAAGCTTCTGACGACCAGCGACCGAGTGCTTGTATCTGCTGCTGGGAGAGGCCTTTTTGGGCCGCTGTGGTAGCCGCGCCAATTCGAAATGAATGGCTGGAAAAATTATCAGCTGGGATACCGGATAGGAGCAGAACTGATTTAAGGTGCTTTTGAAACCAGAAACGAGTGACGGGACGGTTGGAATCATCTGTAAAAAGGGGGTCGGATGGGAGTTTGGACTGTGATTTCTTGAGCTGGATGAAGGCTAGGAGGGCCTGGTATGGTAGTATGGGTGATTGGAGGTTGAAAATAAAAATGAAATGGCCTTTCCTGGTCTGGTCTGTTTTACTTTGCTTGATGAAGTAAGAGATGGTTTCATCATCCAGCACTGTTAGATCGGAAATAGTGGGGTGGGTATTTGGGTTGAAGCTAGATGTGATAGTGAGCTCAGAGCATCTGAGAAAACCAAAGAAAGCCAGGATGAACATAGCGTCGAGCGTGTGGGCGGTGTGAATGGAATGATAACCTCTGCGGAGGGTAGAAATGCATTTGGTCAATATTTGTAAGGTTATGGGTTGCCTGGTGTCTGGGCGGGTGGGATGGGCTCTTTGGATACCTTTGATGAGTAGGGAGGTCTGAGAATTGGCTATCTGGGGTGAGGGTGAACCGTATAAGAGTTTGTGGAAAAATTGGATTCCACTTAGATAACTCTTAATGGAGCTGATTTGTAGGTTTTTGTTGATGTTAAGGTGAGAGATGAATGAGGTGATGGCGAGCAAGGAAAAGTCGGGGAATGGCAGGTTGTAGGCAGAGTGAAATGCTTTAAAGCACTTCCAAGCTGTTAGGTAAGATTGTAGGGTCCTGGTGGAGACGGCTTGAAGAATAGAATTGAGGGAAGCTTCGAGGAGAGGTCTCAGTGGATGATTTATGGGAATATCAGTTCTGAATAGGGAGGTACTGGGGTTGGGACTGGATCCGCTTCTGGTGCCAACATTCTGAATTTCTGGAAGGCAAAGTGAGAGAGAGAGTCAGCTATTTGGTTTTTTGAACCAGGAATATGTTTTGCAGTTACAATGAATTGGTCGCAAGCCGAGATCCAAATCAGGCGTCTTAACAAAGGCATTAGGGTGGGTGAATGGGAACTGCCTTTATTGATGCAGTGCACGGTAGCCTCATTGTCGCAGTGGATAATGATGCTGGTGGCGGACCACTCCTTACCCCACAGAAGGGCTGCGATGACTAAGGGATATAGCTTGAACAGAGCTGAGGATTTTAGCTGCTGTGGTAAGTCTAACAGCTGGGGGGGCCATGTAGATGCAAACTAGCGGCCTTGGTAAAATCCGAAACCGACGGAGGGGGTTTTTAATTAGGAGATCGACTGTTTCGGGTTCGGTGAGAGCGGACTGGAGATTGGGGCAGATGAGGCTTAGGGAGGGGAGTTTTCCAACACCGGGGTGAAAGCCATGTGAGAGACCCGATAGTAGATAATCCTT